ATGAAGGTGGATCAGGACTATATTTCTTTATCAGTTGCTCCTCATCTGTAAGCTTAACAACACTATAAACTTCCTGTTGCAGTTGAATGTTCGAGCTCTTCACAATAACCTTAAACATGAATTTTCTTTGAGAACATTGTCAGCTCTACTGGATAGGATACTTATCAACAACGCCAGTATTCTAGAATGAAATTTTGCGTTAGAATTTATCAAATAAAAAATATGAATATAATTAGTTGATATACCTCAAGAAATCCTTCCTTCAATTCTTTTGCGGATTTGCCTATGAGAAACATGGCTTCGCGGTCCCAGAGCAATATGGAAACAGATCCAGTAGTATCCATTACCCTAACCTGAAGCTTGTACCTAATTGCACACTTGATTTGAGATATAAATGTACATTTTTGATGGATTAAGGAAATAGAGTTGTTACTTTAACCTAATAACTGCTGAGTAATCTTCATTTTTTACATTTGGGGTTGGGCATTGATAAATGTTTTCTTTGATCCCCCTTCCTTCCTCCCCTCTCCTACCTCCCCCCCTTTTTCTTTCCCCCATTACTTTATCCACCTCTTTTGACACTTCTTGCAGCTGACATACGACCATCCTTTTCCAAGTTCTAAATTTTCAATACTTGCGACAATCCAACAGGGACCTTCCTGTTTAATAAAATGATTACACTTTAAATCGTGAGGTAGAGAGAGAGCGTATATGTGCAAACCAAAACTAATAATATATATTGTGCATAGTTTAAATTAGAAAAATTATGGTTGTCAACCAATATGTCATCTGAGAGGTGAACATATAAAGTATGACATCCATATATTTGCATGGAGTAAGTGCTGAAGAAAACTGGAAAATTATTCAAATGTACAACATAGGAAACATTGAGAAAAAGCAAAATGTTTCTCCCCTCCTTAACTTTGGTCAAACTTATGCTTCAGTATGTTATGATTTCTCTGGCTATAAGCCTTTTTATAAAGTTGAACCTGGATGACATAATCTAGCCAACGGACACGGCAATAAGTAATTGGGCATCAATTTCAGCTTATAATATTTCATGAATTTTTAATAAACATTTTGGTTTTCATGTAAATTTTTCCATCAAGATCCTATCTGAGGATGTTGTTTTCATGTATGTATAATGTAGTTCCATTAGAATAAGCTGCTAAAGTCACAGTAGTTGGATCTAAGATTCTTTCTTAGATCCAAGAGAGAAATTCCAGTGGTAGTCATACCTTGCTATATAATGCATTCTTTAGCAACCTATCCAGTTTTATGTTGGTCAATATATATTTGTCACATTTAGTTCATAAAGACTCATCATACATAGTAAGTTTTGAAGTTAATTTAGAAGTTAATGTGTTTTGAAGGGATGGAGAAGAGGTAGCAAAAGTGGTAACCGAAGGAGTAACTATCATATAAAAACTTATCATATTCTAAATGTTTAATCACATTTTAATGCCCTAAAATAGGACAACCAAAGGCTGAAATATGAGAAGAAAACAAATAGAAAATATGGCCTTCTGAAATTTCAAAGAAAGAAGATAAAAAGAGTTAACTCACTTGCATGAACTTCACTAATTGGGCAATTGTTTTAACTTCAGCAATGCCCTTCTCTAACTCATCCGAAACAGAGTAACTTTGTTGCGAGATGGCTTGAGTCAGCCTCTCAGAGTAACTATCCCGAACAGAAAGTAATCTATATTTATAAATGACAGTTAGAACTATACATGAAAAGATAGATATGAGTGTAGCTAAAGGATTAAAATATATTAAACCGTGTTTTAAACTCGTCAGATTGAGGAAAAGTAGGATTAATCCACAACTTTGATGCATTCCAAGTATTGCGCACAGAATATGAATCTGCAAAAACAAATTATGTGTAACATGTAATGAATAACTTTCACAAAGTAATGTCAAATTGAATAGTTACATTTTACCTTGAAATTTATGGGCTTTTATGAGCTGCATAACAATAATAACAGACTGGTTGCTAGAACTTAAAAGGTGAGGTATAACTTGATCAACAAATTCGCCCCAGAATGTAGCAGATAACTTGTTCCTCCTGTCAAATAGAAATAGTGTATAATTTTTAGCATATGTAATTATCAAATCTATCATTAGTCCATTGATGTCTGTTTATTCTTACTCATCATCTTCTAGTTCGATATCCATAAACTTCCTAGAAATTTCACCTTGTTTTTGCGTGTGTACCTCACTAAAATTGACAATTTCTCCGATCACATCTAAAAAAAAAAAAAAAGATGTTAAAATAAGTAGCATCAATCTATTGCCAAAAAAGATGTTAAAAAAATGTTAAAATAAGTAGCATCAATGTATTAGCACGAAACAGAAAAGATGTAAAAATAAATTAAGGTAAAACTTATTATTACCAAATAATTCACTCTCGTTAACATCAACTTTATTTATCAATTGATGATATGGTCGCAGCTCAAAGATATTCATTGGAAAAAGTGGATCAATTGTTTCAGCCACTGTTGTCCGTTGAGTAAACGTCAGCATCAATCTATATTTTGTGCTGTTGAACCTCTCCTTGTTTTGGCAAACGATAAAGTTCGCCATAAGATATAATCCAAGCTCATTAATTTGTGTTTTCAAAAGATGCAAAACTGACTTGCCAATAGAAGCATGTATACGATCACCCTACAAAGAAATTACATTAAATAACAGAGATTACAAATTTTTATATTAATAGTAATTTATATTAACTATAGTTATAAACAGTAGAGTTAAACAAATTAATCAGTTGTAGTAATAGAGAAAAAAATCCAGATTTGCAAGTGAAACTATTTTTGGTAATTCGAAAAACTTTTTTTAAACCCCTTGTGTCCCCTGTTTATATTTCTACAACTGTTTTGAGGACGAATACAAAACCGAGAAACAGAGAACAAAAGGAATTAGTTTCTACTTTTCATGAAATATTTGAACAAATGTGCTGCATAGCAAAGTTGAACAAATCTATACATATGCAGCTCATATGCAAGTCTGCTGCATAGTAGATCAGTAATTTAATTAGCAGGTTCTAATCCATATGGAGATGAGCATGGTAATGAGAAGGGAGGATCATTTGAAGAAGAAGGAATTAGCATGATGGATCTATTTTTTACTAAAAACTTTTTCTTTTTTGCAGGTGATGTATCTGTTTCTATGGCTTTTAATTTGATAGAATTTCAACTTAAAAAGCAGAACAAAAGTAATCAGGTGATCTCAGAATAATACTGTAAAGTATGTTTACTTTGAACTAAGGATGTTTACATTGGACGTTAATATGAATTGCACAATTACACGTACAGTTGGGCTGCTACCCAAAAATGTTTTTACAGATGTCCAGGTGGTTTAAATTAAAGCAATAATTTTTTTTTCCTACTATGCAACAAAACCAAATATTCATATAACAATTTCGAGGAGCAAAACAAATTATGTATAATCATATAACAATTCCGAAAAGCAAACCGAATTAGCAAGGTAATAACATATTTAAAATACCTTTTCATCTTGTAGAACCAATTCAATCGAGAATATAGTGCCTGGATTAAAACGATCCGGTACTTCCCACAAACGGACAACACGAACTTTCAACTTCCATTGCATCTTCGAAATTGTTATATCCTTGATGAAATCAATGTGAGTAGCCATCTTTTGCATAAGCCGTAAGTTTTCTTGAAATCTTGATAGAAGAAGGAACATTAGAATTGAAGTACGTGTAGTTGTGGAAGAAATATATATTTGCAGTTTTGAGCAGTATCTACCCAGTATACAAAATCGTGGGTTACACAGTTGAAGCTATCGTGCTTTTGCAGAGACAATTTAGGGTAAGTTGAAGGTAAAAAGTTTTTACCTAATATTGTGGAGTAAAAGGTTTTAACAAATAAAATGATTTAATAATTTAAAAAAATAAAAAATTCAGAAAGTTGAAGAGAAGTTTGAACGATTTAGAAGTGAACGGTTTTGAAGGCTACTCCTATTTTTGAGTAAGCCGTATCATTTTAACAAATAAAATGATTTAATAATTTAAAGAAATTAAAAATTCAGAAAGTTGAACATAAGTTTGAAAGGTTTAGAAGTGAACGGTTTTGAAGGCTACTCCTATTTTTTAGTAAGCCGTATCTTCTATCTACAATCCTAATAAAAATAAAATTGTACTTCCTAATTCTACTTCCTAATAATTTGGAGCAATGTCTTAAAGTGCCAGGTGTCATTTTAGGATTTTGCCACTTGGCTTCATGAGGGGCTTTTTTCTTCTGCTTTTAATTATAGATAGATATTGCTATTTGATTTGATTGTATCGTACCGTACTATATCAGATAAGTTTACTAAAATACCCTTAATTATTTTAAATATTAAGTTTATCAAGAATTTCGCATAAAGATAATTTAAGAAAATTCTTTTCTACTAAAATCAAATAGTATTAACTATGATAGAGAAACGAATGAAGACGTGTAGTTGGCAGAACAAAAGAACGAAGATAAATAAGTAACACTTTGCACACGTGAAAACAACCAATAGTATACACCTAATTGGAGATTAAAGTAATTAAAATTGGAGTTAAAATCAAAGTAGGAGAAAAACGAAACAAACAGAAGGCAAAACCTATTCTTACTACCTTTGGCGTTAGAGTTGGGAATAGTAAGCGGCAATAGAAAAAAGGAACGAAGACAAAGTAGGTTAAAGATTGAATTTGGAGTTAAAAGAAAGGTAAAGGGTAAAATATAATTTTAAAGTAGTAAGTTAGGCATAATTAGAAAGAAAAAATAGAAAACAATCCCACCTCACCAAATTTATTGTTTCGAAAAATAAGACTTCTCATTATTTCAGAATATTAAATTTAATAATATAATATAATCAATTTTAATTAAATAATTAAAATAAACACTATTTTGGAATAAAAATACAGTAGATATGGTGTCATAATGGTAAAAACGTACCCGCACTGAATCCCTCCAAACAAGCTGTAAAATTTGACACAAACTAATCGCAAACTCTCCAACCATAACGAGCTAATGAACTACACGTCGTTGGGACTCCGATCACGAAGTAACCTACCTTTCAGTCCCTTTATCCAATTGTCTTTTTATTAGTCCCAATTACTCCCAAAAACGACAGCAAAAGGCGAATCAAAATAGTCAAACACCAGAAAAAGCTCCTCGTTTTTTTTATTACTTTTTTTTTGTCTCCCCTATTTTATGAACTAAAAGGAAACTGAACGGAGAAGCGGAAAATTGATTTTCTTCTAAAAGATCGTCAAAATTGAGATCCAGAAATTGAAATTCTCTTCCTATGTCTTAAAGGTAATGATTCTGCATTGCGATCGAATCAGTTATACTCGATAATTTGTTCTGCTTCTAATCCCTGTGTCCAATGAAATGATTTTGATCTCTCATTTAACGAATTAATCTGTGACGTGAATATGATGTTTGGACATTGTCTTTGCCTTCATTTGATTTTGTACTATTAGATTGTAATTTATCAGAAAGTGGAGGGCCTCTTTAACCGTGAGCTGCTGGAAACTGGTTGCAGTAATAGTTGTGAATTTGTGATCATAACAGCTAGAAGTAGTATGAAATGAGCTCAAATATAGAGAGGATTCATATTTCATATGGTGGGCACGGTTACCCTGGTATAGTACTTGAGCTGTTGGGAGGTTGCAGGCACCTGGTGGAATAGTTGAGGCGCGCGCAAACTGGTCCAGACACCTACAAAATAAATAGTATAGAGAAAGGATTCATATAAGTGACCCCAACTAGTTTGGATTGAGGTTTGGTTGCTTTATCGGTTGATTGATTGGACATGAAGCACTAGCAAAATTTCCTTTACATTAACAGGATGGTCTATTTCCATAAAGTTTTATGAGCTGAGCAAAACTGTTGGAAAATCTTTAAACCAGAACTGTAGTGGTCTTTCTATTTTATGCACTTTTGATGCTTACCAAAAGTGAAGTTCACTATATTTATAACTTATAAGTTACTTGTTTGTAGGACATCAGCTGTTGTATTGGTGACCTTGGTATGGATTTAGAATTCTCACCACTGTGATATTCTTGGCTAACTTTGTCATCCATTTGTATTTCATTACAGGGCTGCATTGGATAACAGATGGGCTCTATTTCATAAGTTTAAGCAATGTTATTTTCCAATATTTAGCATTTGGGCCTCCAGCTGGTGTGCCATCTCTCATCAAGTGCTTATGGAAGACTCCTTCTATAATCACACTCCTGGGAGTGGGTCAAAGTCTGCGGTGACAGCTGCTGTCACTACTAAAAATGAATCTAAATGGCACTCCACTGCTTCTGGCTCAAAGTCTTTTGCAAATATAAGACAGATTGATCTGATAAAATATGGGAAGCAGAGAAGGGGGAGTGGCAATCAGTTAGTTTTCTTTCTGGTTAAAGTTGCTGCTTTGGAGACTGTGCGGAGGATCTCGCAGTCCAAATGTCCACTCGTATGGTCTGGCCTGCAAGCTTTGCAAGTTGTGTGCTACCCCCCACTTAAGTGGATGCAAAGGTGGAGTCCTTTTAGGGTTCTGGTTGACGGCATGCAGGTTTGTATGCAGTTAACCAATTCAGAAGAACTAATATTGTGTCTCGTGAACTCCTCTAGGTGCATTCGATCATTAATCACATGCATATTTTTCTGAAAAATATACTTTTGTCTATGCCTTAAGGACCAGCAGCTTTTGGAAAATGTTGTCTTGAACATCAATAGGTGCATTGATTTTGCATCACTTCAAAAGAAGTATATGATCCTATATACCTGATATAAGCGGCATGTCTAGTGCTGCTTTTCATTTGTGGGATTATACACGAAGTCAAGGAGAAAGAACCTAAGACAAAATAGAGTTATATGTATATATGGATTTATGCTGGTAAACATATTAATTTTGAATTATAATTAAAATCAACGATTATTCCTCTTATGAACGGGACTATTTTATAGATATTTGTTGGTCTATTGTATAGGTTTTATTTGCTGGAAAACAAGGATTAACCAAGGATAGATGTATTTTACGATGGAGTGTTAACTGTAGCATATTGCAGGTAGCAGTAGCCTTTATATGACGTAATACAGTAGCCAATTGGAATGCTAATTTAGCACTTAAAAAATGCCCTTTGAGGCCCTTTTATATTTTTAAGAATCAATTTTTCTATTTCCTTTATTCCTTAGAAAGTTCAATGTCACGAACAAGGGCTTCTTCCCTTGTTATTCAATCCATGAACCCATTGCATAGCAATCCTCTTCCATGTGAAGTTGAACTACAAACCCCACTTAATGCTTATATAATCAGAGCATGAGCATATGGCGTACCTGCATTTATTATGTAACAGCTTATCTGTAAGCAGAAGGAATATCTTTATGTAGCCTCACAGGCTTGTCTAAGTTTTCGTTTATTTTTATTTTTCCCTTTTTTAAAATAATATCAAGAGGAAGTCTTTATGCTCATGTGAAGCCTACAGAACACTTTTAGTTTTGCAGTTTGGCCCTGTGTAGCTCTCTACCTCGTCAAACCAATGACTACATCTATGTGTAGTTTCTTTCGCTATATGGTATCTGATTTAATTTATAGAAGAAAATATGCTACCTAATTAAAACAGAATAAATAGCATATCCTGAGATTAACTTGGTTTCTTATAGCTGTGCATGCATTGTAACTTAAAGAGTCTTGAGAATTTATATTGTCAATTTCATGTGTTTTGCGTCTGTGATTTTCTTGCTCAATTTGGGAATATGACTGTCATTGTTACATGCTCTAGAAGTATGCCTTTGAGATATCATGCATTGGATGTTGCACAATTACAGACTTACAGTACGTCTTTATGGTTAGATGCTATCGCGGCCACTGCTAGTGCTCTCTATCGCTACAGCTTTTTCTGATCATTCAGAATTCAATAATGATACCTCAGATAACACTCAAGTTTCCCCAGACACCAATGCTGTGCGTTCTGATTCAGAATCTCAGCTACAATTCTCGTCTGAGCAATCTATCCCAAGTGAAAGGTATAACCTTGATATACTGCTCTAAGTGTAATGAATTAATGAACAATTACCACCGGTTATGTCTCAATCTATATATGCAAAAGATATAATCAAACCTGCAGAAGGCTCTGGCCAATCCAGTAAACAAATGCTGAACTGTAATTGTAGCACGATAGAAATCATTGTGATAACTATTACATATATAGAGGCCATCTTTTTCTTGCTTTCTTATGTTGGAAATAGAAGGTAGCTCTCATATGTTAATGATATACTAGGTGTATTCATATAATGTGCTAGAACTTCATTCCAACATTAGGCTGTAACTTGAGATTTAGCATGTGATGTCTAAAATTACTTGCTTCCTCTTCAATTGCTTCTGGATTTATTTCTAAAACGGTAAACCATTGTTGGACTTATCCCTATACATCTAAGCCAACTCAGAGCAAGGTTTTGAGACTGAATTTGTGGTTGATGAGTTATACGACTTCCATGCTTTTGCAGGGTTGGCAATGAAGTTTCTCAAAGTCCGTCTTCCACAAGTTCTGCAAGCTGGTTGCATCTGCTTTACAAAGATCTGGAAAAGCAAGGAATTCGTTTGCCAGAGAGGTATCTTTTTGACAAACCAAAACTACAAGAGAACTTTTTTTTGAATATTGTGAGTTGGATGTGCAAGTACAAGAATTGTGCCACTCCGTAATTAGTCTTAAATTAATGTCGAGGCTACCAGTTTAACTGTAAAGATGTCTTAAGACATATCAGAAAATGGAGAGTTTCTGTTCAAGCTTCTCTAGATATTCGTTGAGCATGATTGTCTATACTGGTTCTAGTGATAAAGCATCAAAACCAAGAGTGACTACTTTGTCTCTCTTGATGTCCAACTCTATACTCCTTCTTTTTTTGTTTGCGAGTTAGATTTGCCTCAGATCAACTTTCATACAGACGATTGAACAGCTTTCTCTCCCTAGTGCATAGATCCTTCTGTAGCTCTCTCACTAGTGTGTAGATCTTTCTGCATGGTTTACGGTATACTGTTTCTGAAATATCTTTCTCTCACTGGACACAGTTCTTTTGCCGAGATATACTAGCCTACTTGAACCTGTGATCACATTGTTTGTTTTGTTGCCAAATGCATAGACATTGAAATGACACCTACCTCAAAATATTTTAACCTTCATGTTTGATAGCATTTCATTGGATAACCTGTTTGCTAAAAAGGTTGATCACTGATCAAACATGGATACAACACACATCTTGTCATTATCTATGTACTTTCACTGTACCTAGTATGTCATTATTGTCGTGATGTCATCACAGATGGGCACTTTTATGTTGAATAATCCCTGTGTCAAAGAAGTCAAGAATTGAAGAACATTTGGGAATCTCTTCTTTAACATCCTTATTAGAAAGCAGTGTTGTGAAGAGCGTGAAGCGAGGAAAAGTGACAAGCCCCTTTTCGCTTAAAGCGAGAAGCGAGAAGCGAAGCGCTCGCTTTTCTAAGTGAAGCGGAATTTAAAAAAAAATACATTAAAATAAATATTGCATAGACAATGAAGAAGAAGAAGAGGAGAATGACAATAAAATAAATGCTGCATAGACAACTAAAAATAAATGATATGAAAAAATGGCAGTAAGTATGCCAAAAAATGGCAAGTATAACTGGAATGAAAAATAGGCAGCATTTCGCTGCAATTTATCACTGAAACAGTGAAAGAAAATTAAGAAGGAGAAGAGGAGAACGAGAAAAAGAAGAACTGAAGGGGGAGAAAAAATTCGCCAGCATTTCGCTGCTATTTGGACACTGAAACAGTAAAGAAAAAGAAAAAGAAGAAGAAGATACTGCATAAACTTGGTGATCTTGAAGTTAAAAAAAGAGAGCTTTTTTAATTAATTAACGTTGGCAGCCCAGTTATAAAGAGAAGCGCTCACTTCTGTCGCTTTGTTCGCTTCCTCGCTTCTCACTTTTTCAGGGGAAGCGTATCTGGTTCCATCTTTCTTCCGTTAGTTAAGCCATCACTTTTGTGTACCTAATATGCTTCAGATCAGAGAAGCGCCAGATGCGTCGCTTCGCATCGCTTCTCGTTAAGCGAGTAAGCGGTCGCTTTTAACAACACTGTTAGAAAGGGTTCTAAAATTGTGCCGTAGTAGAAAATTCTGCTGCCACCAATTCTTACTCGTACATACTCTGGATCATAGTTTTTATGGCCTCCACTAAGTTCAAGAAAAGATACATTGGATCTGGACAGGCATTAACTTCTTTGCTTTGGAATATTAGTTTCAGCCTGTGTCGCCCAAACATGTTTTGTTTCTGCAGCTGTAGCCGCTCACATCTTTTTGACAGTTCATAGTGCAGAAAATGCTTTGCGATCACTGCTTTCGTCCATTCAGCTTGATCCCAAATGCCAACCACCATGACATAGAGTTTAAACTTCGTATCTTTTTCTGATTAAAATCAAATAAAGGTAGAAATTTGATGTAGTTGTGTAGACAACGAATCCCGATGGCAGTTTAACTTTTGTTTTACTCCCGCAAGGTACTTGAATTGTTGCGAAGAACAGTTATTGACTACTGTTCTATCATGATTTTGTTTCATTCTGCAGTTTTACTTGTCGTCTTCTTTGTCCTCATATTATATGAGCTTTTATTTCTTATTCCCTTCATTTGTCAGGTTGATCCAAAAGCTCCTGATGCTTTTGTTTCATTCAAAAACTTCTCTAGCGGTGCATATACATGCCACTAGAAATTTGCCGCACATAGATATGTTTCAAATTTATTGGTTTCTCTTCTTGCAGTGAACATGACACAATAGTATTTATGCAGAATTGATGAAGAGGAACTCCACCGATATTTTACGGCTGCAGATGGAGATTTTACTCGCTTACTTTCTTCAGTGAAGAAGACAATTCGCTGGAGGGAGACTTACAGAATTCTTTCCAGACAAGAACTAGAAGTGTGGTCAAATATGGTCTTTTGGCATGGATTTGATATGCAGCATCGGCCATGCCTCATTGTCCGTCTTGGCTTAGCATGCATCAGCGTGCCATCTCGTGACAGACCTTGTTTCGCTCAAGCAGTTGGTATGCTCTTCCACTAGTACAGTTAGTATCTGACTAAGATTTTAATGGTTCCCTCTTTTACTTTAGTAAGATGTGTAACTTTTTGATGTTTCCATTCTGATTTCCCTTTATTTAACCTAAGAATAGGAAAATGTCACTTTGTTTTCAGCAGTTGAATAACTTTGATGTTCCTCTGTCAGCTGTTTATGTTTGTTGAATATACACATTTCTTTTGCTTCAGTTGGAAACAAAACAATTTAACCTCCGTTATACTATCCGGTCAAATTTACCCTACCGTTATGCTATCCGGCCACTCCTACCATCAGCAAACTTTTAGAAATTACCCCTTGATCTGTTAGGCAATCCAAAATCTCCCAATTTCCTTTTATTTAAATCACTTGCTATTCTTCTTGCTCCACTATTTTCAGAAATTACTATTGATGTGAATGCTAAAGGTACTAGACTATACAAATTATTTATGGATATTTTTAATTACCATTGCACCCACTTCACTTCTTGTGATAATGAGTTTGAAATTGGTTCAAAATTTTATTTATTTTTCAACCATATACATACCGTAGAATTCAGTGGGTCTATTTATTGTGTATTATAAGCAACTGCGCATCATGTATATACATGTATATTCGAATATATTTTGTTATTGTCTGGTCTGTATAGAGTTCGATCAACTTACTTAAGAGTGCACAATGCGTAGGCATTTAATTAAAGAAAAGTTGAATTCGACAATGTAAAGTATCCAAAGAACTTCAACTTCTATATTACTAATACTTGCAGATTCTTCAGACCTTTGGTGCAACGAATTCATTAAAGCTGGGGTATTGTAAATACTTTTGGAATTTAGAAAAGCTACATAATTTAGATTCTTCAATTTACTATACTTTGTTTGCTAACCGTTCTATTATTTTAATATTTCTTTCTCTTATTTTTTTCCAATTAAGAAAGCATGTAAATGCCAACTATCTCGAAAATAGTGAATCAACAAGAAGAATAAGTTACTTAATTAAAATGATCTGGGAGATTTTGGATCGCCTGACGGACTGAGGGGTAATTTTTAAAAGTTTGCTAATGGTAGGGGTAAATTTGGTTAAATAATATAACGGTAGGGGTAAATATGGCTGAATAGTATAACGGAGGTTAGATGTAGACAATATTCGAAACTAGAGGGGTAAAGTTGGACCTTTTCCCTTTTATCTATTACTGCTCAAGACTGGGGTAGCAGTACTTAGCATGTGTTTGTCAAAATAATAAGTTCCATTGTAAGAACTTAAACCAAGAAGTTCATGACGGTAATCTTCTGCTATAAATAAATCATGACAAAATCAGGAAAGGAGTTACCCCTTTCAGCTTTTAATCAATCAACTTAAAATGTTGGCTCCTCTACTCAGCTAGTTCATAGTTAAACTGATTTAAGGTCTTGTCAAAAATTTCTCTAAATAGGCAAATTATTAACCAATGGATATTTTCTTTGTGAAGTATCTCAGGTGGAGCATGGGGTTCTTCATTTGGTGGACCCTCAAAATTCTCAAATTACTGTTTTGGTAGACTGTGAAGGACTATCTCCATTGAGACTTCCCATGCAAATGCTGAGATCCTGTTCTACTCTTTTGCAAGATCACTTCCCCAACCGTTTAGGATGCTTATTCATTATACGCCTTCCACCTATTGTTCGAGTTGTGGCACAAACCTTTGTGCAAGTAAGCTTTACACTCTAATTATTATTTTGTTCACTTTCCTGCTTCACTATTGAAACTCGGGCCTACTTGATCTGCATAGATGATAGAACTCCTTTTCTGGAAACTCTAATGTAACTATTCTTGCGCAAACAAACAGGTTTTCAAACCGGTCACTCGGCAAAAACTGAAATTTGAAGGAGAAATGTACCAAAAGGTTCTTTCCGAGTGTTTGCAAACACTCCCGTCTGATCTTGGTGGGCAGTGCACATGCTCAGGATGTGGTAGCTTTAGCGTTAGCGAGATGCGTAAGACTCGCATTTATGAACATCAAGGAATGGTGACAACAGAATCTATTAACGATACTCTGGATTTAACATCACCTAATTCAGGTGAACGGACTGAAATTCCGTCGAATTACACCTGTGACCAGGTCTTAAGAAAGGCTGTGCTAGGTGTCCTTTTATTCTGGGTTTTTGTTGCTTTAATTGCTGGAGTATATGATCCAGAAAGTCGTCCCATTTTACCTCCTTGAGCTATATTACAATTTTGTACTTGTCATTGCACATCTATTCTTCTTGAAAATAGTCTGTAACTAGTATTGGCCACAGTTTGTGGCAATTACCTGTCAACATATCTAGTAGAGTTGTGTACTGGAATGGGATGTTGGTTCTGTGAGCACGTGATTTTTGCCACGCTTAAATTACTCCTACAAAATTCCTTAAAATTAGGATTTTTCTTTATTCTTTGAATTTTTAGGAATTAATTGCATGATTTTGTGTCTTGTTTGCATTTTTTGTGTGCATTTTTAGTTGCCATAATTCATAAAAAAGGTACAAAAGTAGTGCATTTGCATTTAGAATTCGATTTTATATTTTTAGGTTTACTAGTTAATTAACATTACAGAAAATGGAAGAAAATACCAAAAATAGTCCATTTTTACTTTTTTACTTTAATTTTGATTTTTCTTTAGTTTTCTCTTAACTTTAGGATTTAGTAATTTTTTGAAATTTTAATTAGTTTAATTTAGAGTTAAATCAGGTCTTTTAATTAATTTTGTATTTTCTACAAAAAAAATCAAAAAAAAAATGAATGAAAAAATAAAGAGAAAATTAAAAGAAAATAGGAGTCTTAATAAAGACCCAGGTTTTGGGCCATTCCTTTTTATTACATCAGCAGCTCAAACGAACAAAACCCGTCTCAAACCCAAGCCCCAAACACCCCAACCCGATCCAAACCCATTTCCCACCTAAATGACGTCGTTTTGGTGGATTTAATCAGGACCGTCGAGGTTGCTTGATCGGACGGTCCTGAAGCCTACCTCATTAAGTATTTAAGTGTCCAAACGTTACCCCCCCCCCCAGACCCCCTACCCTTCGTCTCTCTCACACCCTAACATAGAGACTCTGACGTCGCCGTCCGTCGCCGGCCGGAAATCGCCACCGCCGGCGGCTGGTCTCCATCTCCACCCAAAAATACACCCCAGAATCGTCTTCTTCTCCCCATTTCAACTTCACAACTCCCTTCCCTCAAAACTTGGTCCATCGTCTCGAATTTTAAATCGAAAATTCCAGCCAAAACACAAAAGTCGTCCAAACTTCACCAAATTTACACCATATGTTCTCCCCAAGTCCCTCTTTCCAAACCCCAAACCCCGTCCTTCGAATCCCCTCCGAACTCCTCGAATCTTCGGTCAAAGTTCCGGCCAAAACCCTAAACTCCCCAAATCTCACCAAATTCACACCATGGACCTCCTCACTTCTCTCATGACGAATCCGTCATCAGAAGCACTTGAATCTCGCCGGAGTTGGTTGAATTTTGAATCGACGAGGCGGCAGAACCCTAGAGTCATATCAGTGAGTTTGTTCCAATTTTGTTTCTGTTTTTCTTTTTTTTCTCGTGTTGTTCTAAAGTAATTCCATAATTGTTCTTGCTCCATGATTAGTTGATAACATGAAACTGTTTTTCAATTTTGTCATTAGTTTAGGTATAGTTTTTATTCAAATGCCCTAAGTTTAGTTTAAGTTCTTTCTTGGTTGTTCGTCAGTAGGGTTTCATTTTTTTCATGTCAATTGATGCGGTGTTGTTTTAGTTTCTTATCTTTGTTCTATGGATTCGATTGGGTAATTCATAATGACTCTAGGATTTCAATTTGATTTCTGTTCTGATTATTGAATTTGTTTCGATTCTTTTGATCTGATTTGGTTTGAGTTTGAACATTTACTGAGTTTGACGATTAGAAGCAATATTATTCTTTTAAGTTTTGTGTTTGGTATTAATCTGACTCTGGCTTGAATCTAGTTTAGTGTTTAGTATTAATTAGAAGCTATTCTCAATTCGATTAATTAGTTCAGTTATTTTCTTAATTAGTAATAGTTGGTTATAGCTGAATAGCCTAGACTATTACTTAGTCAATTGGTTAGAAAAAAGGGGCTGGGGTTTGTTTAGGCTAGTCTAATAAATTTCAGAATAATTGAAGGGTAGAGCAGGTATTCCTAGATAAAAACTGATGTTGTAGGTGAATCTAGAACCTTCTAAGGTCTTCTAAAATGGGACTCAAGTTAGAATATCAATAACTTTAGTGCAGTAACTTGAAGAACAAGTCAATAAAAAGGGACTAAAGGGTAAAACTGAAAATCTGAGGGCTGCCCCCACCTTTGCCTATAAAAAGGGCAGTACCCCTGCCTTGCAGAACTAGTTAGAGAGAGCTCCCAAAATCTGAAAGTTCAAAATTCAAACACAGAGCTTAGAGAAATCGGAAAATTTCAACAAAAAAAAACAAAAACAAAATAAAAATTCAAATCAAAATTACTATTCCATTGAATTTCCTAGAGTGATCTTAGATTCCAAATTTTGAATTAGCATTCCAGCTGATCTAAAATTGAAAATGGTCTGAGTCTTCTTCATGTTTTAGTAGCTGAGGTTTAGAAGTTCCTAGGGTGGTTTTCGAGTTGTTTTTGGTTCATTCAAGGTGTTTCTGGTTTGTTTACTGGTGTTTGTTGCCTGAAATTACTCCTTGGATGATTTGATACCATTTCCTGGGTGTGGAATTCGTTTGAAATTACTGTTGCTGGTTGTTTCTGCTACTGCTCTCATTCGCTACCTCCTGACTTGAATTTCCATTTGTTTTGGCCATATCCAGGTACATTTCTAACCTCAAGTGTTGTATGAAGACTGGATCCATATGTATGAACGCATTTGAAGAGAAATATAGAATAACTCCTTGTTCTTCGCGTGAATCTGTTCCGGTCTATATACTTAGACATTTAGTTCAATAGTGTATTTTAGACTATTGTCTATTTGTATTAACCTAGACTATAGACTGTATAATTAGGACTTTTTGGACTGTTAATAGACTGTTGGATTGTGGAACTTTCGGTCAGTCATTAGCCTTAGTAATTTTATTTTTGTGATTAGTTTAGTCATTAGCCTTAGTAATAGAACGAAACTGATTCTAGATCTTCATTTGTAGTTAATCATCGGGCATTCGAATTATTGTGAATAGTTAGCAAATGTCAGCTGTAGTATGAATTAATTCAGATTTGTTAAGTTACCGCTTAGAAAATTGAATTTAAACTGGGCTGCATGCTTATTAGTGTAAGATCAGGCGTTTTGGCTTAAATTACACTGGATAATTCGTTGTTCATTTACAGGCCCAAATTCGTACATAAAAATCATCATAATGTGTTGGTTTAAACTGATTTGGCTTTGGAATTTCTAATTTAACACATTTGGTTAATTGTGTGAGTTGCATATTCATGTAATAATTGGTTTTGAAGTTATTTGATAAAAATCAACATCTGGAATTTAAATCAGCCTTCTATTCGAGCTGCTGTGAATTAAAATTAGCTGAAGATCCATACAGGGGTCAATATTTGGTTGTGGGCTCAGGAAGGCCAAAACCTAGCAGCTGCCTATTTGATTAAGTTTGGGCCTAAAATTTGTTGTCTAAATGCACAAATACGAAAATCTGATCATGTTTCCACATTACTGGACTGACTTTGGAGGCCCAAAAGAATGCTGAAGACTTAAAGTCACTTTAGAGTTATGGGATCAATTTTATATAGGCTTTGGGCCTTCTAGTTAAGTAGCATGCTTGAATTAAGAGGTTTGCCTCTTGTTCAAGTGTGGACTTGAACTTGAGGCCCAAATTCCTTGGTCACTTTAAATAATAGCATTGATAATATTAATTAATTAGGGCCCTTTAGAGACAAATCCGATAGAGAATCATAGTTTGCTCTAGGATGGCTTTTAAATAATAAAATGAGGTGAGCCACGCCAAATAAAATGCATAAATTGCGTGGCCCTCTTTAATTGTTTATATTAAAATACTTAGAATTCAGGGCGGGCCGTTTAGCGAATTTCACGGCCTCCCGCAAAGATAATAACACGTTAGTCGCTTTAGGCGCGTCTTTAATAATTTTACCTTCCTAAATTCGGGTGTGCATTTCATGTGACCCAAATCCAAATCCCAAAACGTTGAATAAAATGTGTCGAGGATCCGGGTGCATTTCATGTGACGTGATCCAAAAACATGTTTTAAACGACGTTCAATTTCCTAATATTTAACTAAAAGCGGTAAATAATTCTAAAATTGCACTATAGGATGACATGTATAAAAATCATATTTCAGCCATTTATAATAATTAAACGACCATGCTAGAACCACGGGATCCGGGGGTGCCTAACACCTTCCCTCGGGTCAACAGAATTCCTTATTCAGAATTTCTGGTTCGCAGACTCCAAATGGGAAGTCGATAATTTTCCTCGATTNTTTCAATTTTGTCATTAGTTTAGGTATAGTTTTTATTCAAATGCCCTAAGTTTAGTTTAAGTTCTTTCTTGGTTGTTCGTCAGTAGGGTTTCATTTTATTCATGTCAATTGATGCGGTGTTGTTTTAGTTTGTTATCTTTGTTCTGTGGATTCGATTGGGTAATTCATAATGACTCTAGGATTTCAATTTGATTTCTGTTCTGATTATTGAATTTGTTTCGATTCTTTTGATCTGATTTGGTTTGAGTTTGAACGTTTACTGAGTTTGACGATTAGAAGCAATATTGTTCTTTTAAGTTTGTGTTTGGTATTAATCTGACTCTGGCTTGAATCTAGTTTAGTGTTTAGTATTAATTAGAAGCTATTCTCAGTTCGATTAATTAGTTCAATTATTTTCTTAATTAATAATGTTTGGTTATAGCTGAATAGCCTAGACTATTACTTAGTCAATTTGTTAGTAAAAGGGGCTGGGGTTTGTTTAGGCTAGTGTAATAAATTTCAGAATAATTGAAGGGTAGAGCAGGTATTCCTAGATAAAAACTGATGTTGTAGGTGAATCTAGAATCTTCTAAGGTCTTCTAAAATGGGACTCAAGTTAGAATATTAATAACTTTAGTGCAGTAACTTGAATAACAAGTCAATAAAAAGGGACTAAAGGGTAAAACTGAAAATCTGAGGGCTGCCCTCACCTTTGCCTATAAAAAAGGGCAGTACCTCTGCCTTGCAGAACAAGTTAGGGAGAGCTCCCAAAATCTGAAAAGTTCAAAATTCAAACATAGAGCTTAGAGAAATCGGAAAATTTCAAAAAAAAAACAAAACAAAAATTCAAATCAGAATTACTATTCCATTGAATTTCCTAGAGTGATCTTAGATTCCCAGTTTTGAATTAGCATTCCAGCTGATCTAAAGTTGAAAATGGCCTGAGTCTTCTTCG